ACTGCAGTTATATTTAGAGAATACCCCGCTTGGTATTATTTGTTTATTTAATCAACAATATTGTTTTGTTACATATGAAGAATATCTACATTAGTCAGTCCATTACTTTGAGTATGTAATGTAAAACATATACACAAGGCGTTTAGAAATTTAATGATCACACTTTGGGAGTGTATTTGGGACTTAAAAATAAGCCAAACATTGGGAATTGGGAAATGTTCCCGATTTTGATTTCTTAAGGAGATAATGCATTACTATTATCCCGTAATTGCCGTGCCAAAATCATACATTAACGCAATATCGGGATATTCCTTATGATGAGATTTGTGTCCCGTCAAACACTTCAATCACTGGCTGACATCAGTGGGAGGTTCTTTTTGATGAAATAACATTCATATCATACATCAAAAAGTGCGATAGCGATTCGAAAATTGTCGCTAACTGGTTACAGGGATGAGCAATGTGATAGGGATGAGAAATTTGATAGGGCTGAGCATTTAAAATATTCGTTAAAGGTAAAACACAACAGCAATAGTCGATTAATTATCCCCTCAAACAGAGTTAAAGGCGCATAAGTAGATATTTTTACATGAAACCTGCGTTTATCGCTTTTCGTCATTTTGTGAGGATTAATTCAGCCGTATTTGTTCGTACAATATTTTTTATTTGGATTTTTCTAAATTTAGAGAAAAGCTAGAAAAAGCTAAACAATTTTCGGAAAAAAGCTAGTAGCTAAATTGCAGTTTTTCTAGCTAAACAGCTAAATTTAGCTGGAAAAAATCTAAATGGCAAGACTGGTTGTGGATATTCAAAGCAAATGTACAATTCAACGTCCTACACTGAGAAAAAGGATTAGTTTCGAGAACTAAAGATATTTAGTTCCCGAGTTTTGACAATATTTGGGAACTGTTACCAAGGGTTGGAAACTATTACCATCGATTGGTAATTATAACTAAATATATTAAAGCTTCTAATATTCATCTAGGTTGTAACAAATCGTTAATTTAGTTGAAGGGTTTGGTTAATACTAATAAATATTTCTTTGAAGCATATTTCTACAAATTCCATTCAACTTAACGTATGGTTCATAAAAGGATGTTATTAAGCTCTGCTAATGCAGATAAGCTTTCTTTCAACACGTGGTTTAGTCATAGTTACCAAATCTTAGTTGAGGCAACCACGATTTGTTTTGAGAGTGGAACATATTCATGCTTGTGAGCCACCCCTAAAGAATGCTGAGCGCTCTCTGAGCACATACGAAGAGCGCCAGCTGAGCAATGCACACAGTCCCACTTATTGAATCGTTTGAATGCGCTAGTATGCCGACCATTGCATTGTGCGTGGAAATCATTGCTCCGCTACCGCTTTCGTATATGGGTGAAACACGCATGTGGCCCCAGAGCGCTCAGTAAGCTATGGCATGTCGATCGCTGCGCCATGTGTGCTATGACATGCCCATACTTGTTTTTCTCAGTTTCAGTTTTGCTATCATCGCGAGTTGTTTCGGTGCGCGCATAGTTTAAAGTTTAATTAAAAATATAAAGTTTGATGCCAACCGGGGTTTTTCAGTGGATATATAATTCATGTGAATTATAATTTGAAAGTGTCTATTTAGCTAAGGAAAAAGCAAAGCAGTATACTTCCAGCAGATATTGACCTGGGTTTTCGCACGACTGTTCCTGTTTCATCGTTGTTTTTTAGGAAATTCTTACCAACATATACATATGTATTATTTACTTTAGTAACTAACTTATGTAAATATGTACGTATTTTTATGCTTAATATATGCAAATAAAAGAAGAAAGTAAACACAACAAACATCGAGTAAATTTTTATTTGTGTCAAACTGAAACTTTTTTCCTAATAATAAACGGTTAGCTGATTCAAGTCTACAGCAAGTTCACAAAATTAATTGAAAACTTGTATCAACCAAAGCATTGTTTATATTTTCTCAACAATGATTTTATTCAACTAACAATATTGTCCAATCAAGGTAGTCGTTTTGTAATTATTAACAAATATACATTTGTCCCAACTAGAAGTCTTAAGTAAATTGCAGACTTTCGTGAACTATATATTTATTTCGCCATATCCAACTATGCCACTTGATCACTATAACCAAATCTTGGTTATTATAACTAAACCTTTTTCTGGGTGTATACGTAAAACTCAACAAAGGCATTTGCTCACTCATTCGCACTCAGCGAACGACCATATGGTTACAGTGAGAGTTTTTTTTCGATTTATGATTTTTTTTTTACATGCCTCGTGTTGTTATTATCCGAATGGCATAGCATTTTAAATGTTAATTTTCTCAAGCGAATGTATTTGTGTACATATGTATGTATACACTTTTTGTATTTGTTTGACTGTTTGATTTCAGCTTGTCTCGGGGTACTTTATCCGTGAGTGAATTAGGTTAAGTGCGGTCATTAAACCATCGGCACAAATTTTGCAGTCATGCGGGCATGATCATGATGTTGTGCTACATTTATATTGTGTTGTTGATAAGAAGCTTGGCAAAACACCCTGTTTTTCCAAAGTAACTTCTGTGAAAATATGGCTATATATATGTACATATACATATGTCGTCGTTATGTACTAAAGCCTTAAAAGTTGTCAATGTAAATTAACGGTTGAAATGGTTTTAGGAGATTTGTAACTACAGCAAAATATTTTTGAACCGATAGAAAATATAAAACTAGCTCTCATCATACACAGAATATCGCCTTTAAATATAATACCGTTTTATATGTAAACATATTTAATTTTTCATGAAGAATTTTGCAACAAATGCGACTTTTTCCTCAATCGGCTTATTATGTTACGTATACGCACCCCACTCCGCTTGCCAGTCGGTGGTATGTAGGCATCTACATAAAGACATATCGTTATCTTAATATAGAAAGGCCCAACTAATTTTCGTTCGAAATTCAGCATTATAAAAAGATTGGTACGCTAGTGCCTAAGGATTTAATCGAATTTAAAAACAACTACTTACTACATTAATAACCCGTGTTTTGAAGAAATTCGCAACTGAAAATTTTTAGTTTCTATATAGTTTAATAACCGCTTTGTAAAGAAAAGAAAATGCGAGTTAGGGTCTTTCTACATATATTAAGGTAACGATAAGTACATACATATGTACATGCATATGAACAAATTTATTATTCGTGATAGTTTTGTTTTTATTGCCATTGCTTTAAAAAATTCGTTCATGGTTGGTCAACGAACTCATGGCTGGTGCACACACATTTAGTTTAAGCGTGTAAATATATGTACAGATATAAAATAATGTACACATACGTAACTAAACATTTGTGTGAGTATTAAACTCACGATTTCAGCATTCATTGCTACGGAGTGTCGTTTGTTTCTTTTTTTTTTTTGCGTCTATGCTCTCGTTGCTTAGCTCGGGCTATTCGTTCGTGTTTTATATTCCTACTCAGAGACAATGAGCAGGCAAAAGAGTATGAGTGACAGAGTCGTACTACTAGTATTATCGTGTATGTATAATTAACAACATTTGAGAAAGACCTCGAAAGCGTACATACTATGAATGTTAATCCCGGGATCCTGGGATTCCGGCCTTTTTAACTTAGGGTTTACACCGGACAATATTGTCAAGACAATTATGTCAAAATGATCTGTTTGTTGTAATATGAATTCGCCGAGTTTAAAACAAACACATCATTTTGACATAATTATCCTGACAATATTGTCCGGTGTAAACCCTAAGTTAGATCCCAAAAATCCCGGGATTCTTGGCAAATAATCCCGGGATTTTCGGGATTTGTAATTTGCACTGATGGCAATAATAGAAACGCCTTTTCTTGACCAGTATTGGCTATATTTTTTTTTTATTTAATAAATAATATTTTTTTAAAAATCTCTAGCTCATTATACATATAAAACTGTGCGATAGTAAATTTTACACACAAAAGTCAATATATTCATGCAACCATGGGCCAAATATAGTAAAATTGCTTTTTT